CTTGAATCATACTTTTGGTTTATATATTAGACACTTGCCTAACCCAAGGTATCAGAAATTTTGTCCTGTATGCTTTCAAAGTCATTATAATTTTAGGTTTTAAATGTAAGTTTATAATCCACTTAAGGGCCTCCCTGGTGGCACAACGGGTTGAGTTTAGTGCTGTGAAGCTGTCCATAGCCTCTGCAGCACCGGTTCAATTTCCAGCTGGCTGGGGAGAAACCCACGTGGCACAGCAGACCTCTCCTGTTCTTGTATAAATAAATAAAAATCTTTTTTAAAAAAAGAACTTTAAATTTTTTTAAATCCACTTCAGTTAAATTTTATATGCGGTGCATGGAATAAATCAAACTTTTACTTTCCTTTTGTGTGTGTGGACATCCAGTCATCTCAGAGACATTTGTTGAAACAGTTATTCTTTCTAAAACTTCCTTTGCATGTTTGAAAAAATTAGCTATAACTGGGGCAACTTACACACATTATATCTCATTATTTCTGGATGCCAATATTATTGTCTCAGTCATTGCAGGTCAATAATAAAGTCTTAAAGTCAGATATACATACTCTATCTTTACCATTCATATTCAGAGTCCTTTAGGGTATTCTAGTCGCTCTATATTTCCATTCAAATCTGGAAACATTATTAATTTGTACAACAAAATCTGCTGGGATTTTCTTTGGGATTATGTTGAATGTATGATAAAAATGGGGAGAATTGGCAACTAGATAATATTGAGTCCTCTAATTTATGAATACAGTGTGTATCTTCATTTATTTAGGTCTTCTTTAATTAGTATCAGCAAAGCTATATAGATTTTATTGTACAGTCCTTGAAAGTATTTTGAAACAGTTTTCTCTAAATATTTCATATTTCTGTTACATTTTTAACTTCTTTCTTATGTCACTCTGTTAGTGTTTGTTGCTACTATATAGAAATGAATTTTGTATAGTGACCTAGTATAATAGAAATGTGTTAAACTGGCATTAGTTTTAGTAGTTTTTTTTTAATATTCCACATGATTCTCTACATGGACAAGCTTATCATCTGCAAATAGACAATTTTTCTTTTTACTTTTCCATATGAGAGTCCCTTATTTCATTTTCTTGCCTTATTGAATTGGCTAAAATCTTCAACAAAATGTTGAATATAAGTAGGACATGCTAATAACTTTGCCTTGTTCTTGACCATCACTGGGACCTGACTATACTAGCACCTAATCTTAGCCTCCAACATGTGAAAGATAAATTTCTTTTGTCTAACAACCCCGTCTATGGTATTTGGTTGCAGCAGTCTCAACTGACTCTGGCAAATACCATACACTCTTTGCCTAGTTCACATGAATGGCAAAGTCTTGCAACACTATTGAATAATGTAACAGCAGGGGATGACATAAGCAAGAAGGCGGAATAGGAGGTCCTGGTCTCTGTACACCCACAAAAACATCAATTAAACAACTCTCCATAATTGAAAACACCTTTAAGAGGGGCTGTTAGTTGATTTGAGTGTTTTCAATACTCCAGCGAAACACAATAGCCAAACACAAAGTAGCCATTTAAAAGAGCAAGAAGAATTCCTCTTTACACATGTCACCTCTCCTCTAAGTTGCCACAACTCAGTGTGGACAGAAATCTCTTAGGCCTATAATTTCCCAAAGGGGAAAGAAACAGCAAAATAAGTATCTGGCTTCCCCAGATGTTCAAGATGCTGCCCAAGAGGCTCCATCTCACCTCACCAGGACACTCAGAGAACCAACACAGCTGGATCATCTGGATAGAAGCAAAAACTCATAGCATTCAGACAGTAAACTACATCACCTACCCATGGATACCACCAACTAACCTATGCATGCCCCAGAGCCAGGGCCATATGGATCTCAGCATGGATCTCAACATGGACCTCAGCAACTAGCTTGACTCTGCAGGATTAAGAGAAGGCATAAATGTTTATTAACTCTAGTAAAAAAGTTAAAAGATAAAAATATTAAGAGTAATTTTAATTAAATAATTCTTTTAATAAATACATACGAACAAATATAAATTCTTACCTCAATAATATAAAGTGTATGGAAGGTATAAAAATGCAGACTTTTTTTAAAAAGATTTATTTATTTATTTATTTATTTATTTATACAAGAACCGGGGTACAGGCCAGATGTGCGGGAGGGTGAGAGAATTCACCAGAGACAGAGCAGGGAACAGAACAGGCAGACTGACGAAATACACTGCTGAGAGGAGCAGCCTGCAAGACAGGAGAGGTCTGTTGCACCATGAGGGACCCTCGCAGGCCGGGATGGAACAGGCGCTGTAGAGACTGCAGACAGTTTCACAGCGCAGCACTCAACCGCCTGCACCACCAGGGGAGGCCCAAAAATGCAGACTTTTTGTACACATTCAAAGCCAAGTTGTTATTAATCCAAAATTGACTGCGTTTTTCATGTAAGCCTAACAGGAACCACAATTAAAATACCCAAAGAAGATGTATGCAAGAAAAAGAGAGGAATTAAAGCAAATCATTACAATACAAAGGAAGAAGCAAAAGAGGAAGAAAGGTATGCAAGAACAACAGACAGAAAACAATGAACAAAGTGGGAAGAATAAATATAATGGGTAGAATATCCAGATTTTCAGTAATAGACTTGAATAGCATCATAGACAAAATGGGCCTACAAGATATACACAGACTATTCCATCCAACAGTAGCAAAATATTCAGTTTTTCTAAAGAGCACATAAAACACATGGTAGGTCACAAAATAAGATTTAACAAATTTAGGCATATTTAAATCATCCAAAAGAGTGGTGGGTATGCTAAGGATACTACAACAGGAGGAAATTCTATACTTACAAAATTCTAATAACAATATAAACCAATGGTTCTATTGGCACAATGGATCTCTCCTGGCACAGCCACTGCTCCCCTCAGTAGTGTATTTTGTCAGTCTGCCGGTTCTGTTCCCCGTTCTGGCTCTGGTGAATTCTCTCAATCTCCCACGCTGCTGACTATACCCAGTGCTTGTACAAATAAATAAATAAATCTTTAAAAATAAATAAATAAATTTTTAATTTAAATAAATAAATAAATAAATCATCCCAAGCTCTTTTTCTTATTACAATGAAATGAAACTAAATATCAATAACCAAAGCAAGATAGTAAATTTCATAAACACATAGGGATTAAACAAAATGTTGAACAAACACTGGATGAAAGAAGAAATCATAAAGGAAATTAGAAAAGTCTGAAGACAAATGAAAACAAAAACAACATAACAAAACTTACAGGATGCATAAAAGTGATACTAAGAGAGAAGCTTATAGCGAGCATCTATATTTTGAAAGAATGTATTAAATAAACAAATTAACTTAAATCTCAAGGATGAGGTAAAAAAAAGAAAAAAACTAAGGTCAAAAGAAGTATGCAATGAAGATTAGAACAGAAAAGGGAAAACGCTAGAATAAGAAAAAAATCTGCAAAACTCTGAGGCAATTTTTTTCAAAATTGAAATTGATAATCCTTTAGACTTACTAAAGGGGAAAAAGAGAAAAAAACAATACAATAAAATAAAAAATTAAAGCGTCTACAGCATATATTGCACGCACGTGCACACACACACACACACACACACACACAAACAAATCTCCCACCACCACCAAAATAAAAAACAGTTCAAGAACAGAAGACCTCACAAATGAATTCACCCAAACATTTTTAGGTGCCTTGGTGTTGTGTGTGATGTGGAAACATACATCTGAAGGGTGTGATGCTATACCTCTCGATATATAAAATGCTCTAAAGCAATGGTGCCTTAATGAGAAAGACAGGTAGGACAGGAGAGATGGTAGGAAGGAAGGGGAAGGAGGGAAGGAAGAAGATTCCAATTATGAACATACAAAGAAGACAGAAAAAAATAATAAAGAAGAGTAAAAATCAAAAACATTAAAAAATGTAATATAGATCAATGAAATTGAAATTTCAATAAAAAGATTGACAAAGGAGAAAGACAGTTAACACAAATTACCAATATGAAATGGTGTGGGAAATAGTGAATATCTCTACAAACAAAAAGACAGTAGGGGATAGTAAAATTTCACACACATTTGCTGATTAAATAACAACATCATTAATACCATGTATCCTAAGACAAAAGGGAGAATGAAAGTACTTGAAGGCAAATGCAGACAGCTAATGGAATGGGGGACTTTTAGGTCTTTTAGAGAAAAGAATGTGAAGTCTTCTGCTAATAAATGGTAAATATTTCTTGTATAAAATCTTCCCAATGAACACAGAACATGTCCTATTATCCACCATTTCTGTCCTAAAGTCCCAAGAGGTAATCTTTCCTGTAGCTTCCTTTGTCGCTGTTCCTGATTGCTCTAAAAGGTTATGTTCCTATTTCCTGTTCTTAGGAACAGGGATGAGAAGGAAATCTCTCTTTACCATGCTCCCTTATGATAAATATAAGAGATCAGAGACCAGAGAGAAAGGAGTCTCTTTTTTGTTCTTTTGGGAAACAAAGGTATCTCCCAAAGCTAAAGTCCTAACTGTACGCAAATAGATGACTCTCATTTCTGCAAACTTTATGGTCTTTCAAAAGAAGTTTATTAGATTAAGGAATGGCAAATCTAAAGTCCACAAAAGTTTATATATCCGTGAAAAGTATCAAAATATTCCAGACATGCCTCAGTCAAAAATTTTATGACTTTAACATATCTAGATTTATTGTCAAACAACTTTTTTCTACTTAAAAATTTATAATCTCTGAAAATAAGCTGGAGGATGACAAAATGAACTAGCTTTCCCACTTTTCATGAAAGGATGAAGGATCAATCCTCCTCGTAGTTTTGTTTTTTTTTTTTTTTTGACATAGTGATTTATAGAGTTAAGTTAATCCCTAATCTATAAATCATTTGCATTGCTATTTTAATTTCCTTCTATTTTCTCCATAGCATGATACATTATATGCCTTTGCCAGAATTTGTATCAATGAATAAAACAATTTCTATCTAGAAGAACATCCTTTTCTTCAATGCCTTATGCAGAGCAACATGGACATCTTTGTTCCTCAAACTGTAGATGAAAGGATTCATCATTGGCCCCATAATGGTATAAAAAACGGTGGATACTTTATCTTGATTCACAGAACCAGTAGAAGAAGGTTTAAGATACATGAATGCTGCTGATCCAAAGAACAGAGAAACTGCAATTATGTGGAAGCTGCAGGTGCTGAAGGCTTTAGACCTGCCCTTTGTAGAACTGATTTGGAGGATGGTGGAGATGATCGAGGTGTAAGAAATGAAGATGGTGACACTGGAAACTAGTACATTGATTCCCACAATAGTGAAAACTACCACTTTATTGACATTGGTGCTTGTGCAGGAGAGCTGGAACAGGGGAGGTCCATCACACATGAAATGATCAATGATGTTGCCATCACAGAAGGTGAGTCTCAACATGCACACAGTGTGGGCAATGGCACCTGAAGACCCCATCATATAAGTGCCCATTATCAGCATGAAGCACATCTGATTGGACATGGTGACCCTGTAAAGCAGGGGCTTACAGATGGCCACATATCGATCAATGGCCATTGCTGTCAAAAGATAGCACTCATCAATAACGAAGAAGCAGAAGAAATAAAGCTGAGTCATACACTCTCCATAAGAGATAACATTCTCTTTCACAAAACTAATCAGCATTCTGGGAGTTATGGCAGAGGAATAGCAGAGATCAACAAAGGAAAGGTTGAAGAGGAAGAAATACATGGGAGTGTGCAAGTGGGGGTTCAGACCAATCAGAATGAGCAATCCCAAATTCCCCAGCATGGTGATCACATAAACTCCTAAGAAAATGAAGAAGAGTGGCAGCTGGAGTTCTGGTTGTTCTGTTAAACCCAGTAGGATAAACTCAGTAACTGAAGAGACATTTCCTGATGCCATTCTTCCCTAAGACATATCTGTGAGAACAGGACAAAAGGGTAACATTAAAATGAGTTCCTATTTCTCTCCACCCAATCCCCCTACAATGAGATGAGACCCAGAGTGGGAGGATAAGCTCAAGCCCACCCTTTTGTGTGCCATTGCTTTTGCTATTGAATAAAGGCTGAGTTAATTTTTAAGGATACATATCAGAACACTGAAGGACAAGTTATGTAGAGATAAGATTCAGGAACCCTGTCACCACTCACAATTCTACCGCATCTTTGCTCCACTTCTGCTTTGGCAGTCCACCATGCCACCTAATGATCAACATTCATCTCAGTTGAGAAGAGATAAGGTATTTCAAGGAGTCTTGGCTTCCATACTGAGGTTTAGAAGAACAGCAGGATATATACAATTCAACACTCTCCTTTATGCATCACGATTTCAGTGTCAGTCTTGCTAATTCTTCTCTGTATTCTCACAGAGGGGCAAGTGACTCTGATAAATTTTAGAGTTGGACAGTCCAGAGCAAAGTTTCTTTGTCTTTGTTAGTGTTTGTAGTTTAGGGAACTTTTGTACTGAGGGAGCCAGAGCACAGACATCTGTACCCCCGTTTCTGAGATGCTATGAGTGAGAGATGACAAATTCTGAGGGTGTCCTCTCCAGGCGGGGGTAGTAAATATCATCTGCTGAAGCTATAAGAGGCATCTACAATATGACCCTGGGGTTTTATGAGTTGGGAAAGCCTAGGGACCTGATTAAAATGGAAGATGCATGTTTCCCCAGAGATCAGGCTTTGAAACTAATTGCTCTTCATGTATAGCTGCGTTGATTGTAATAGCAATGACTTGCTGAAAGTATATTTACATACGTTTTAACTTACTACCAAATGGGGCACATCCTCGAGTAGAAAAGCAGCTGACTCTTCCTAAGTCTACAGCATCTGTCCCTATTCAAAATACTATATATCTCTTTGTTGTGTCCTCCCACAACTCATACACACACACTTAAAACTAAGTTTCAAAAGAGCACACATTTTATCTATTTTCTTCAGTGTTATTTCTACAGCACCTTAGATGAATACCTGAAATATTGAATATAGAATAGGTATTGATACACACCTGTTTAATCAATTTTTAAAAAAGGAATGAATGAGAATCCCCTTTGCTGTCTTTTCTGGTGCCTAGTCTAGATACTACAATAGAAAGCTTGTCCAACAGGCAAAGTTTATGGTCGAAGTTTAGGTCAATGTTTTCCCCTGTAGATCTCAGTGTAGGATTGGAAAATCCTATGTAAGGGTCACTACTGAACTCACATAGGCCAGCTAAGAGCATTCCAGATGAAAGTAACTGAGCTCAGAGAAAGAATGCAATTTCTATGCTCCCTAAATGTCACACAGTGAATGTCAACAGACTCAGACAGGTCCTAGTGTTTCTCCCAGGACAACTGCGTAATACTCAGATCAATACAGGAAGCTTAAATGTCATAATTGAACTTAACAATGAGAAGCCATTAAGAACCACTCAATATGCTTATTTCTTTTTTAGCATTGGGCCAAAATTATCAAAGTAGGGACTCAGAAAATTTAATATGGCAGGGGGAGATACAAGCTGGTACTGGGGTCAGAGAGGCTGGAGGCAGATTTGTTTGCTGAGATTTTCTTTTGCTGTTAGTTTGCTTTAAGTGTTTTTAATCACTCACCAAGCATTTCTATAATAGCTGTGTAATACCTCTGACTCTGTTCTTCTTACTCAAGATTGCTTTGCTATTTGGGCTCCTTTATGGTTCCATAAGAACTAAATGAATGTTTTGAATGTTTATTGTACCAATTGCGATTGAGATTGTGATAGAGATTTCATTGAAAGTATAAATATCTTTTGGTAGTCTGGCTATTTTAACAATATGATGTGTTCCAATTAATGTGCAAGGGATGTATGCCATATTTCTGTGCCTCCCTTAACTTCATATTATTACTGTTTTGTAATTTTAAGAGTATGAGCTTTCATCTCCTTGGTTAAGTTTATTCCTAAGCAATTTATTATTTTTGTTGCTATTATGTATAGGACTGTTCCATTAATTTCCTTATCTAATCTTAAGACAACCACCTCAATTTCTCATAATTTCAAGGTTGTATATAAAAATATGACTCAATTTCATAATTTGATTTTATATCCTATAACTTTATTGAAATAATTCATACCTTCTAATAGGTTTTCGGTTGAAACATTAATTTCTAAAGGATGACTTTTACAAAGATAGTATTCTTGGTGAGCAGGTTTCCTTTTTCCTTTCAGCACATTGAATATATCAGTACACGCCTCTTGTTTTGAAAGGGTTCTGGTTAGAAATCCTCTGATAGCCTTGTATGTAATGAATCACTTTTTGACTGTTACTTTCACATTTCTCATTGTACTTGACTTTTATAATTAATTAAAATATATCTTGGTGTAAATTTCTGTGGGTTGATCGTGTTTGGAGATCTTGAGCTTCATAAACCTGGAGGTACATATCCCTCCCAAGATTTGTATGTTTTCAGTCATTCTTTCTTCATTTAAACATTCTATGCCTACCCCCTCATCCATACTTCCTCCCCACTCTTTTGTCATTCTGGAACTCGCATAACATGTGTATGGTTCCCTTTTGTCTTTTGTCTCCCACAAAGCTCATAGCATTCATTCTATTTTCTGCTCTGAGCAGAGAATTTCAGAATAGTTATCTTAGAGTTCACAGATTCTTTCTTCTGCCTGATTGAGTCTATCATTGAAGGCATAAAAATATGTCTTTATTTCATTAACTATATTCTTCAGGTCAAAAATTTTCTTTCAGGTCTTTTTTTTATGATTTCTCTTTGTGGAATTTCTCATTTTATTCATGGATTGATTTCTGAATTTGATCAAGCTGATTTGATCAGCTTACTGAAGTTTAAAATAATAATTTTGAAATTTTTGTCAATCAACTCATAGATCTTCACTTCTTGAGAGTTTCTTTTTTTAAGGATTTTATTTATTTATGCATAGAAAAACTGGGGTGTAAATCAGAGGTGCAGGAGGTGAGAAGATTTACCAGAGACAGAGTGGGGAGCAGAACAGGCCGACTGACTGAAATACACTGCTGATGGGAGCAGTGGATGAGACAGGTCAGAGGTCTGCTGCGCCATGTGGGTAGCTCCCTGGCTGGCCAGGTGTTGGAGGCGGCCACCCTGCGTAGTGAGCAAAAGGGCCTTGACCCGAGTCTCTAAGGCATGTGAAAACACATGCGTCTCAGAGGAAAACCTCTGGGTGACAGGACTTGGTGTTGAGAGCCTGGAAAGTGACCTGCGTGGAGTCGGGCTTCTACATCTCCACAGTCTGAGAATAACAAAATGGAGAGATCCTGCGCAGTAAGCAGAAGGGCCTTGACCTGAGTCCCTAAGGCATGGGAAAACACATGTGTCTCGGAGGAAAACCTCTGGGTGACAGGATTTGGTGTTGAGAGCCTGGAAGTGAACTGCATACATCTCCACAGATTGACAACAACAAAATAATGAGCGAACTTCCCAGGCTCAGGCTAGGAGGCGATAAGATTATGTGTGTGAGAACTAACCGCCTGGTATCCTACTGTCTGAAGTAAATAGATAATAGTAAGAAAATAGACTAATCATTCATACATGTTATCATTATGTGGTATGCTTTGATGTTACACCTGCTACAATTAAAATAGTATATAATGAGCACTAAGACAATAAAGATTTGCTGCATGCTGGACATGACAGTCCCCCATGTCTAATTTCCCTCACCGTCGCAGTTCAGGCTCGGACTCACTAGAAGTCCACAGCTAGGGATCAAACTTGTGCTGCAGCGACTGTGGAGTGCTTCACAGTGCTGTGATTAACCCCTTGCGCCACCAGGGAGGCCTGCATTTTTTCTCTCTTTAAAGGCCAGTTTCATCAGGTAAATACCTTCTTTTGCTGGGTCCACAAGCCAATGGGGCTGCCTCCAGTATTGCAGTTTAGCAAAATTGAAGCCCGACCATGTGGTTATTGCTGGATGTCCAGTTGGATCAGTGGTTGGAAGCCCATTACCAGGAACACTGGATCTTCAGACGGATGGGTCTTATTTAGAAACATGGTTGAGAAGGGCTAGAGTCAGGTCACAAGTTACTCCCAGGTTAATTCCATTAGACATCTGGCCTTGTACCAAGGGTGCAGACAGGTATGGATCCCTGAATATGTTCCCACTAGATCCAGAGCATCAGGAAAGTAGGAACATGTCACAGACGATCTTCATGTTTCACAGTTAGAACTGATTTCAATAGACCATCAGAAAGAAAGATTGTATCCCACTGGTTTCTTGGGAAGGCAGAACTACACCCAAATTGTGGCACAGGGGGCTGGCATAGAATCATAAGGCTTCTTTAAGGTTCAAAGTCAGGACTGAAGTCAGCTGGCCTGCTACCAGCTACAAGGATGAGCATCATTAGGTCCTTGAACTGCAGTTGAGTGGGGCTAGAACCAGTTCGCAAAGATTTATTGTATTATCATTATGAAATGCGCCTCTATTTTTAACAATGCTCCTTGACTTGAATCTATTTTCTTTGTGATCAAAACAGCATGCCAGTTTTCTCATAGTTTCTACATTTAATTCTTTCAAATTTCCTTTCATGCCTCTAACTATATAATATACCCTTTTTAGATGGCATGTAGTAGTTGTCTTGCTTTTTTTTTTCCAACATAAAAACCCTTCTGTATATAAATCGGAGTTTTCACAACTTAAATTCTATCTTGAGAGGCAACTCAGCTTATATTCCTATGAATCTTTAAGTCCATCAAGTTTCAATTATTTTCATTTAACAAACAGCATGCTATAGTCATTTTTAGTGCCATGGTCTATTATCAAAGTCAAACAAGCTTAAAGGTGCATCTTAATTCTACCTGGGAGGTTTTTCAATTTGCTATGCTCCAGTTTGTCCAAATATAAAGTGTAAAATAATAATAATTTTCTAATTGTGTAAATTAAGTTATTGTGTAGATTGAATAAGAAATATGCGTGTTTATAT